ATTTCTTTCAACAATACGTCAAAAGATCACAAATCGTATCTAGTTGAAGACATTACCCTTAAAAATTGAAAAATTTTCCCTCATTCTCCGCAAATGGGGGAAATATTAAAAAAAATTACAAATTTAAAAATCGGTAAATTTTGTCATTTTTTTCACTTTTTTTTCTTAAAACTTCCATAACTTTTTGAAAAATAAACAAATCANTCTTAAAACTTCCATAACTTTTTGAAAAATCAACAAATCAAACATAATTTTTTTTAAACTAAAAGCTTAGATATTTCCCTTTTATTTGATATCATTTTTTTGAAAATCTAACACTTAACCTGATCATCGANCAACATAATTTTTTTTAAACTAAAAGCTTAGATATTTCCCTTTTATTTGATATCATTTTTTTGAAAATCTAACACTTAACCTGCTCATTGGGGGAGATTTAAAATAGCAACTTTTTTACAAAAACTAACTTTTTCAACTTAATTTTTGAAAATGTTCCGGAAATACTGCGTCCTTTAAACATATATCAAATTAAAGCTTATTTTATGTACTACAAAATGAAAAAAAAAAATTTGTCCCGACACTTTATCTTCTACATTTAAACGGCTGCCGTAGTTAAAAAAACGCTATTTTTGTGTTAAAATATTCTNTTTTCTTCTACATTTAAACGGCTGCCGTAGTTAAAAAAACACTATTTTTGTGTTAAAATTTTCGATTTTCGATTTTAAATTTTCAACTTAAAAATGCTATAACTTTTTGAAAAATGTATATATCAGCACAAATTTTTTTTTTCTAAATACATTATAAGTACATCTTTCATTTGACATACTTTTTATTAAAATTGGACAAATTTCCCTTATATAGGGGGCGTTCAAAACTTGAAATATTGTAAAAAACATAGATCTTTTTCAACTGAGCTTTTGAAGGATTATTACTTAGGCCATATGCGAAATTCCTATTGCTGATTTGAAATCAGTAAAAATGGGTTTATAAAATTATATTTTGGTTTTGGATGAAAATTCCTTGCAGACCAGTAAATTTAAATAATAAAACATTTTTACATAATTGACTACAAAAACAAATTTTACATTCTTATTATTTATAGAATTAATTAAGTCAGGAAAAAACATTTTACCATTAGTTTTAATGAAAAACGGTTGATAAAAATGCTTCTTTAAGGAAATTAAAATTATATGGTTCTTCGCCAAGCCCTTTAATTATAATAATAATAAAAAAAAAGTAATAATGGTCCAATATTTTAATAATCTTTTCATAAAATTGTAGTGATTATACAAAAGTCTGTTTACAAGTTTACCACTGTCGCTGAAAAAGTCTTCGATTTAACTCAAAAATTACAAAAGTTTTATGTTACTTTAAAAATTAATTGATTTATTTCCTACTTAATTAATTTTTAGAAACTTATTAAGCTTATATAAAGTATAAACATTTTAAATATACACAAATATACTTACCACAACGAGCGAATTGGAAAGTTACAGCTAATAATACAAAAATAGTCAAATTCTTAGATTTCATTCTGTTACTATCTGAAAATTCAGGTTAAAGATGAAAAATCAAATTTTACTCAATAAAACTTACTTTTTATAAATCAGAATTCAGTTATCTTGTTCACTAATGTAATAATTTAGTAAATTTGAACCTTTTATAGATGCAAACAATTATCCTCGGAACACAATTACAGTACCATATTATGACAAATAACAAATTATAATTAGGTATTTGATAATAAATGGGATTTACATATCTATTATCATATCTATTATACATATCAATTTAGTAATTGTAATAATAGATATTAAACAAATTAACGACTTTTGTGTTAATAATGAGTTATTTTCGTTGAAAACAACCGGATGTGGAACATGGTCATGTTCTTTTATCAAAATTTCAATTATTCTTTCTATCATATGCAAAACTTAAAAGGGTTTACAGCAATGAGAATACTTAAAACTTAAAAGTGTCCTATTAATAGGTACTAAAATTAGCATTTTTTATACGGGACCTTTTTATCTATGTTTTGAAGACAGTATTAGCCATTGAATTGAACTGTCCGAGTGCACTACCAGTTTTAATTAACATATAATATTCACGAGTTGAACGTTAAATATAATACTCAATTAAAAAAAAAAAAATATTTTGAATTTTAAAATTTATTATTTATAAAATTTTGAATTTAAATCACAATGAAAAATTGGAGTGATTTGGTAAAATTAATGTACTTTGTATTGATATGCATTTATTCAAATACAGGTAATACTTCATTTAATAAATAATAAATAATTTATAATTTCTTTAACAAATGTAAATAATTTATCATTTTGCTATAAATTGATTAATATTGTTGAAAATAATTAAAAATATCATACAAACAAAAACATGTAATTGCAATTTTGCGTTTTGAGAATGTTATTATATTTTTTATTTTTGCGAAATAAATACTTATAATATTGATGCATATTTTAAGCATTTTTAGAATAATTTACTATTTTTTCTTGAAATAATTAAGTATTAAAACCTATTTCCAGGGTTGGAAATACAAAAAAGTGTTTTATTCTCTGAATAATTTCGTAGTTGTGCGATTTTGTGATAAAAACGACGATGTATTAATTAGTAACAAAATTCTTTTATTAAAATTATTTATTTTTCGAAATTATTTGTGTGTGTATCAAAAATCTATTTATTTTTTATTTTTCAGAATTTATATTTAAATTCTATAATTTGTTAAATAAATCATATAATTTATTATAATTTTTAATTAAAAATTTAAATTATTTTTTATAAAAAATAGATTTTTCTATTTTTTTATATCAAAACACTAATCTATTGTACTTTAAATATAATAAACGTAATTCGGCATGATATAAATATCTGATTTTAAAATGATAAATTAAATATAACTTTAGAAAATATGCTGAAGTTCATATATGCTTTTATTATTAACATAACGTAGGTCACAACCATTTTGCTGTTTGCAATTTTTAGGTCAATTCTTTGTGAAATTTCTACTTTGATTCCGGAATGTGACTTCAGATTATATCATAACATTTAGTTTTAGAGATAAATACTAATTAGTAATGAATGATTTAATTAAACAATTAAATTATTATAAAAAATTATAAACTATATATTTGAAATTTTATAGTTTCATTTGATGATTGAAAAAATACTTATTAAAATAAAATTGCAGTTATTAATTTTTAAGATTTATGTATATATTTTTTTTCGTAACTTCGCTATTCTCAGTTTTGAATTTGAACTTTTGAATTTCTTACAAAACTATTCATCTATAGCAGCAAATTTATAATTATGAGTTTAGCCCAAAAATAGTTACAGTGGAAAGTTCAGGTTTTATCTAAAAAATGTATATCAAACTTAAATTTAAAGAAGTTAGACTTGACCTTTAGGTTCTAAATTTTGAAACACACTTTTTGAACACCATTTAAATGTTCTATACAAGTTTATAGAAATTAATTATATTTCTGTTTTTATAATGATGTAATTGTTTAATTAATTACAAAGTTAATTAAATGACGTTATTAAAATATTACACTGTAATAATATTACAATTAACTAAGATCGATTTTTTAAAATTCAATTTGAGTTAATAAATCAAATAAAAATTAGTTGTATATACACGCCTAACTATTTGTATCTTTTCTGTAGAAGCAGCTCCTACTTCTAATGAAAATAACGAAGTCCCAGTAAGTATATGATCTATAATTACCCTTAAAAATTAATAATGTATCGTAAAATGAGATTGAATTAGAATCACGGTAAATTGGATCAGCCAAGCACTCGGATACCTAACATGTTATGTATCTAAACAGAAAACGCCATCTTAAACATTTTATATTGTAATGTCAATTTTTCACAATTTACTCTTGTGACTCGTTAATTCTAGTTATGTAACAGTAAAAATTATGAAACGTATATACGAGATAGTTGAAAACGTTTCTCCAAGAATATCTAAATAAACACTTAATGGATTAAAAAATTTGTGAAGCTTATCAGTAGCGATAACTTTAAATTATTTATTTATTATTTTTGATGAGTAGCAGTGTATGAAGAATATATTTTTTGCCAGATAACAATTAAAAATATAATTCTTGATTAAATTGTGTGTTAATAAAGAGAGCAGTAATTTTATATATATATATTAGGTACTATAGTCATGGACATGAAAACGTACTAGCACATATTCGTTTAACAATTAGTCCCCTAAAAAACATATTTCACAACAACCTACCATAAGCTAATGGGAAGTTATTGTGCATTTTCACTAGACTTTGTGAAATTTGATTTAGTAGATCTTAGAATCGTAAAATTTATTTTGCATCAACCCCTAGTGATATATTAGATCCGGGTACGTAATAGTAACCGGCTCGTTTTTTAAGCTATGAAAAATTGTCTATGGAGTAGTACATAATTTTTTAGATCTCATATCGAGATTCTTTAATTAAATATTGTCCAAAAGAAAAAAGTAATCTGTACTCCCCTCCCCAGTTCAACATCTAGTGATATAAATAATATATTAGACCTAAAAAAAATACATATATATATATACATGAAAATTCATATATTTTATTTTTCACTAATCTTTATTAAATTTTATAATAAAAGCAAAAGTATGTTTACAATTTCATTGCTTATTTTTTAATTGTTTTTCGTGTATTAACTATTAAAACTTGTATTGGTTACATAAAAGTTTCATAAGTGTTGTATTTAATTTGATTTCAATAACTATGAAAATTTGTATTGTGATGTTTTGAGAATAATCTATTTTATACTGTGGTATACGCTGTGGTTTGTTAACCGCAGGTTTCGTTTCCGCGGTCGGTAACCGAATTGATCGAATGGGAACCATTTAATGAGATATGGAAAAAAGCAATCGAGACTGAAATGATGAAACAAGTAGGCGACAATCAGGGAACAGTTAAATCCAACATGATAGGCGACTTTATGATTTCCGAAAAGGGACAAAGTGGCACTTGCGACCTTATGGCTCAAGGAATGACACAGATGAGTGGATCTATGCCTGGTTTGGGTCCACTGACTACATTTACTAGTTCCGATAATTTTTCTCATGCCATGTGTGATGTAACCAAGCAATCTATGACTCAAGCTGGTACTGGTATGAATGGATTATACCGCCACTCAAATGATGAAAAAGTTGACATTACTAAAGTTGTCAATGAATATATTAGATCAAAATATCACGAGAATGCAAAAAAAAAACTAGCAAAACTGTTTCGATGTGTAACCTTTAAATCCTAGTTTCCTATGAGTATTTTATTATTATAAGCTTTTTTTTTTTAACTTTTACTAAGCATTTACTGTACTAAGATATCTTACACGTTAATGGTTTATACTGTTATTATTATAGTTCATTTTTAATCTAAATATTACTAAAGTTTTTTTCAAGCTATTTATGGAATTTCAAAATCTTTAAATAATTATAAAAAAATAATATGAACCTACCTGATTTTAAATAAATATTCGTTATGTAATAAATAAGATTGATTTTTAACATTAGTGCGTAATTACTTTATTGTACCTAGTAACCAGACGTAAATCATAGATCACTTGCAGGGAAGTTAATGTAAAATTAAACAAAATTAAAATCTTTCGTTTAACGAATTTACGTGACACACTTATATAGAGTGTACAGTAAGTAAGGAAACAGGTTCCTTACTTACTGAACACTTTGTATATTGTTTACGAGGCCCAAGGTCCGTTTTAAATTTACTCCTTTATACATCGAAAATAAATATTTTTTATGCGATTCATCTAACAATAAGTGTAGATAAATGAAAAATAAAAAAAATTGTTATTAAATTAGATTTTATAATTATTTTTACAAATATTTAAAAAACAGTCATAAATTCATACTGGTATTTTCATAATTCGATTACTGAATACATAACATTTATAAACAATTTGTCGTACAAGTGTTGTTATTTAATGATCCTTTTTTTATTTTTTATTTGTGATACGTTTGTTCGGTTTAATATTTAGTTAACATATCTAACAGTTTCATTTCTAAATAAAAATCTCGTTTTTTCAAACAATATAAGTTTGTATTATAAGTAATATGCTATTTATCTTACCTTAGTAATTTTAACTTATTATATAAAAAATGGTTAAAAATTATGAATGATTTTGTAAGAAATTATTACAATTATTTTTGATTAGGTTCTCAGTTTATTTAAACTCGTGATGTATTAATACATCTGTTATTTAACTACAATAACAGTTTCTCTACCTAATTATAGGCGTTTAGAATTATCACAATGGAAAACAACAACAAAGAAGTAAATTCAAATGATGGTATGTACGAAAACATGGCGCAAGGATTAGATAACATAGACAAAGCAATGGAAGCTATGATTGATAACTACTTAGCAGAAACAGAATACTTTGCTCAGAATAACGTAGCTGAAAATCAAAATGTTCTTACTTCTATAGAAAAATAACAATTAATTTAATAAATAATAATATATTACAGCACCGCAAAACATTGCATATTTTACTTTGATCCTTACACTCTATAATTTCATATTCAATTTTATTTGTATACTTTAATATCCAGTAGATAATTAAATGATAAATCGTTAGAAATTTTAGTTCTTCTTTCATCGTTTTTAGATGAATTTTAAAAAAGTACAAATTGAACAACCAATGATGACTGGTATTCGGAGTATTAATCCTAAGTATGTTATTAATATGCCACTATCGGACACAGAACGAGAAGTCCAAGCAAAAGGACCTTTTTCAAGCATTTCAAATGTTTTACCGGGTGGAGAAACAACTACTAGCACCACAACTACAGCTGCGCCGTATAACCCTTCTAGCATATTGGGTGGTATTCCAGGAGGATTAGGAGGCATTCCTGGAGGAATTGGCGGAAGCAATGATAAACAACAGGGGTCAACTATTATTTTGGGAGGGTTTTCCGCCATGCTCATTCCCACTAGAGGAATGGATATGTCACAACTTATGTCTATGATATCCACAGGCCAACAACTAAGCCAATACTTGCCAAAACCAAGTGGTAGTTAGAAAATATTGAATAATCAAACACACTTTGTGAAGGGTATTATACAAATTTGTTTTCTTTTAAATTTATCAAAGCATTAAAATTGTTAATAGTTTTATGAGAAATTGATAAATTTTATAAAATATCATATTGGTAATATCATATTAATGTGGAGTTGCAAAATTGTCTCATTTGCTTAAAGTTATCTTAATTATTATATGATTTTAAGCAATTAAAAATTATCATAAAGATTTCAATAGTATTCATATAAAAATCACGCTAAATTTAAATTTTGGAAAATAAGTTACCCAGGTTCATAAATCTAGTAATTGAAAATTGTAAAAATTCAACCATGACAAAAGGAAGATTATTATTAAGTAATTAGAAAAAATTTTTCATTCATGAAAAATTCAACATTTTCTTAAATTACATAACCTAAATTGTCGAACACTAACAGTAAATGCTCATAAAAATAATGTATTCTTCAGTATTTTTAAACTTTTGAATCTTAAGTATCATTCATACTTAGTAACTTAACAAATTCTTCCCAAAACAATCCTCCACCAATAGACGATTCTAATCTTGTACTTTGCATCCATTTTTCGTAAAAATCTCTAATTGAATATCAGAAATATATTGAATACAATTAAAAAAAACACATCATAGTAAAATTAATACCTTCTCAGCTTCGCATTGAAGTTAAAATTGAGTATCTTCAGATGGAAGATCTGAACGAATTCCATAGAACGAATTGGATTTATTAGTTAAAACTAAATTTTATTACTTAAAAATATGCTTTTAGAATATACGGACTGATTCATTAATAAATTGAGGAATTTTATAAATTTCCATTTATAAGATTATTTAAGGAATTCAGACTTGTGATTATAATATGAGACATAACAATTGACAAAAGCGTCAAAAATAAATTAACTATTTAGTAAAATATAAATAAAAATTTTTTATGTAAACCTTAAAATAATAATAGTATAATTTACGATATTAAAAGATCTTAAACACTAAATTATGAATAAGTAAATTTAGATTATATCTTGCACAGTTATGTCATAAAATCAAATAGTATGGTTACATAAGTCTTGTATATTTTCATTGAGCAAATTATCGCATGTTTTTCTTGATGAAATCTAAATACTTAGAAACATCAGTAAATACAACATAGTGTCTCGTGTCGCAAACTCTGAGACCTTCTTTGGCTACTGTAATGGAAACGATTCCTCGGAGGAACCATCGATTGTTTTTGTGAAACACCATGCCTCCACCACTATCACCATTGCAAACACTTGTACCTAAATAAAAATGCATACATAAAAAATAAAAACTGTACTTTGTTTTATTTTATTTTATTTATATCGTTAAATATGATAAAAAAAATCACATATGAAAAAATTTAAATTATTGGGAAAACTATATTTTGTTTTATAATTAAAAATATTTTTATCAGAAACAAAAAAAAATTAATATATCAGTCAAATATTTTTTGCTATTTAGTATATAAAAATATTAGTATATTAAATAAATAAAATCGTTAAGCAATAAAACAATAATCAAATATGATTAACTTCAATACTAAATAATACTTCTAAATAATTAATTTGGGATCAATCAAAATGTTTAAAATGTACACTGGAATCAAATTTAAACGAAAATATTTAAACTACTAGTATAAATATCAATAAGATTGAATTGTGTTCTGGAATAGGGACAACATCCTCAATTTTAAAAAGCAAAATAATGATACCAAAATTAAACTAAAAGATCATTTTATAGTTTAGGTATCAAAAATTATACTACTTACCATTTCTGAACCCAGCACAGAATGTCTTATCTGATGTAAATTCTGAATAGAACTGTGGATAGCTCCAAAGACACGTCTGATGTGATACGACAGGCATCTTAGCCATTTTCAATTCTTCAGTAGGCGCATCATTTTCGTCATAACCCCATCCAACAACCTATTAAAATAATTTATTTTTAAACTATTACAGAAATTGAAAACAAACAAAAATATTTGAAAAAAAATATTATCAACTCGATTTCTTTTTGACATAGAATTATTAATATTCTCCTCTAGAATATTAAAAAAATTAATATCTCTTTTATTTCTCAGACCACAGAAAAGAATACGCTAACACTATTACGCATTTAATTCTGACCTCGGCCACTATTAAATAGCCATGAGTCATTGTCTTTCTCAGCGTCTTAGAGGCACCACAAAAGTATTAAATAAGGAAAATTAATTAAAGTAACTATTTTGCGTTGATTGGAATATGGGCTGATGACTAAATGTGTCAATAAAAAAGTGTGACACATTCGAGACGCCCAATCCCTGTTTATTCCGTTTGTGGTACATTATATAAAGATTGAAGACCTTGTTTTTCCTCTCACTCACTTATCTCTTTTTCTCATTCAAAAATCTCTTTTATCAAGTAACTCTTTAAGATTATTCCCTACATACTGTAGTGTATTATTTATACTGTGTCTCTATAGTCTTAACTTTTCTCACCAAGTTTAAAATGTACATTTGTTAAAATAACTAACTCTTTGCTTAAAATATATACGCTTATATAATTCCCATATAATTCACCTTTATTAACTTACCTACTATAATTTTAAATAACACTTACAAAACAACTATAAATATATATTAAATATATACTATATTAAATAACTATAAATCACCAGCCGATATTCTATCATCACTGTTCCAGCAGATATCAGGTAAGAGTAGTTTTAAATAGTGATCGGAAATATTGAATAGTAACTATCGAACTATTCGATAGTTGTCCACTATTTAAACTATTCGATAGTCATTCCAAAAACAATTCGAATTGTAAAAATATTCGATAGTTTATGCTAAAAATAAACTATTCGGTTGTATAAATACAATTCGAAAGTTTAATATATTTGAAAATGCCATCACTAGTTTTAACACACTAACTACATTTATCAAGTAATAACTAGAAACAAAGTACTTGTATTTATTATATCTTTTTGGATGATGCCATTATCATTCTTTTTTATTAATACCACCCCCATAAACTTTATTTTTAGTTATTACAAATTAATGACTTTATTTTATTTGCTGTATCTTTTTAATTAAATTTATACAGTAAGGTAACAGCACCAGTCATCGGTACATGGACTAGTTTTTAGTAATCGAGTTTAATACTTAATGAATAATTTAAGTTTTAAATAATATATTGATTTTTTAATTAACTATGAAATTTAATAAGGAAACAAAAATTAACTTTTCAAAACCTTCAAAAGGCTCATATAAAACATAAAAATTGCTAAAGCCTTGGAACTACAAATGACTGGTGTCGTTACCTTAGATCATATTCAAAAATATAAGCCAAGTCAGAAAATCTTTTATAGTAGTGTTTCACATAAAATACTGTCAGAAAAAAATTCATAATTAATATTGCTAAAATGAGAAATTCGCATTGAGGAAATAACACAATTTGTTCCGTCTGTAATTTAATAAGTTTCCAAGAAATTACTTAATTTTAAAATAAAATAAAAAATACAAGATTATTGTGAAATTATTAGTCTAGAATGGAAACAAAAACATCTGCATGATACCCCTCTTTGCACTTTTTTTCGTAAAAATTATTGGTAGTCTTATTTGTTAATTGAACCTACATTTTTCAAAGTGTCAATTCTTTTTGAGTTCAAAAAATCCATTTTTATTTCATTAAAATCAATATTATTACCGTTCCTTCTTTTCCAACTATATCATCCAACTCATTAGTTTTTTCTTCCCACAAACATACAGGATTCACATAATTTGTTATCTCTGCTTCGGATGACAAAGTTAACACAGCGATATCACCCAAATAATTACTGCTGTTGTATGATGGATAAACATTAATACGTATGACCTGGACCAAAAATCATTACATAAAAAATAAAACTCAAAAAATGTAACATCACATTTCACCTGTTTAGTTTGGACTCCCAACTCATCACTGTATTGTAATTGATGATATTTACCTAGATAGACGACTATTTTACTAGCGTTATAAACCATATCGTTCTGTTTAGTAGTTACACAATGAGCAGCTATAGGATATGTAATACAATATTAGTAGTACGTATAAATTATAATTAAATTTAGATAAAAATTAATTAAAATTAAATTCAACAATAAATGTTTGATTTTCACAAAGATTAATACTTTTAAATACCTGTAATGACTTTGTTTTTTGATATTAAGGAACCACCGCAGTTGTAACTGAGATTAATTCCCTCAATTAAGTATAAAGCTACATGCCATGGCCATTGACCACGGAGTGTCGACTGTCCAGCTGTTACTAATGGCACTGCAAGTTTCACTTCACCACAACTAACTGAACTGCTAACTTGTTGCGAGTTTGTTCTGCAATACATAATTTTCAGTTTGCGATTTTCAACCACTTTAAGTTAGGAATAAAATTGTATAATGTTATACATACGTGCTAAAGGAATCTGAAGGGTTTTTATTGGGTTTTTGAATGGAAGACGATGATGTTTGTTGTTCATTAGGTCTGTTATTGTTATTATTCAGAGGTCTAGATGGATTAGAGTTACTATCTGTGGACACGGGGCGACTACCACTGTTGTTGTTTCCAGAATTTGGGCGATTGTTAGAATTGGCATTATTATTATTTTGATTTGAGGATGGTCTATTGTTATTGTTGTTCGAAGATGGCCTGTTATTATTATTTTGATTCTGATCGTCGCTATTGTTTATCACAGTTATAATAACAGTTTTATTGTTAGATGAATTATTACTCAGTAACTCATCAATAACTCCTGTTATTTGATCCTTGTTGTTTGAATCAGTGTTGGCTTGCAAAGACACTGTATTAGGTTTATTGATGGGGTTGACGCTAGGCCTAACTGTAGAAGTTACTTTATTCATGTTGTTGTTATTGTTGTTGTTATTATTGTTATATGGTCTACTATCATTATCATTGACGTTATTGTAATTATTTGATGAATGGTCTGTACCACCATATGGTGACTGTGTAGTCGGTTTGTATATATTATCTTTATCATAATTGTTGTTGTTACCATTTTGATTATTTTCATTATTGATATAACTTGGAGAGAATTCATCAATGTTATGTTCGTTGTTATTTTCACCAAATTCTGGATCAGGTCTTTTAGACGGCCTCGTGGATTTTGTGGTAATATCGTACTCTGAACTGTAATCTGATAAACGCAAAAAAAACTCATAGAAAAATCATTACTACTAAATCTCAAAAGAAATTACAAAATCAAAGTATCTATACAAAATTGCATATTAAATAACTTTATCCTAAAAAATGTTGGTATTATCTATTATTTAAACTATTTTAAAGCTAATTTTAATTAACAACCATTTATCATTTAATCAGTTAATTAAAATATTAAAATACGACAACATGACCTATAGATATCAAATTACTGTACATAACTCTATTATCAAATCTATACTAGATAATACCAACAATAATAAAAAAATACCAAGGAATTCTTACGGGAATCTTCAGGACAAATTTTTCGACCATTTAATCGAATTATGCGTACTCGAGGACTTCCTGTCGTCCGGTTAAACTTCACCATAATTCGAGACAGTACAGCTGGTCCAGGTCTTAGTCTTTGATTTAAGTTTAAGATAGTATATTTGACATTGTCATTTGATGTAGTTTCACCCATCCACGACTGAAATTGTTCAAACAATTAAAATAAATAATTTATGGCTTCTCTAAACTATATTTTATATTGAAAAACAAATGTAATATAGTAACAATTAAGCTATAATTAATTTTTAGCGCAACAAAACGTGATCTTTTATTAAAGTGTCTGTTTAACACACAAAAATATTACATAAGTCCTTGATATAAAATAATAGTAGCAGTTTAACTAATTTTGTATATATTATAGATATAAAAATAAAAATATCTAATTAAACACTCAAGCTGCTTCTATAAAATCACTAATGAGGAGTCATAATTATTTGCATTTATGTTAGACTGAAAAATAATTAAAAAGACATATTATAATAAAATAAGCTATTAAAAATGTATCAAATATCAAATATCACAAGGACAGTTTATAAAACAGCAGCACAGTGGGGTCGTGACACAGTGTCAACTTAGCACAGTTGGGACGAGTATAGACGATATCTGACAGTTATTAATACCACTATCATAGTAACACCTCATTACAAACTTGTTGATAATGTTTAATTTAAAAAAATTGGATGGATTACTTTAAAAGTAATATCAACACTTAATTCCTGATTTCTATTTTAATTAGTAATTCTTTGATTTATAAGTATAGCATATGAATAAATACTAATTATAGTAATTAAACTTTGCATGAAATTTATTTTCAATAATTTAATATTGTAATTTTTACGGAGGAATTATAAACAGTTATAAAGTAATATATTTTGTTTCTTTTATAACAAACGCATAAAAAAATTTAAACATCTTAATGTAATACTTTTCAGGAAAATTTTTTTTGTTACTTATGAATAAATACACTTAGTGTATTGTAAATGTAAAAATCCATTGTTAAATTCAAGTAAAACCAAAAATAATTTTTTTAGAAATGATTTATACAATAACATGTATTAAAAAAATTGGAATATTATAGACTGGTGGAGTACAGACAGATAGAGTAAAAAAATAATAAAGTAAAATTATTTAATTTTATAACTGAAACCTATGATATTGTCCTTGATATTCATTGAAGTTATTCAATCTAAATGAGATAAAATTCAAATAAATTACAAATTTTTACGTAGAGATGATGATAGGTTTGAAAATGACCACAAAAACAACATGATAAATTTAATAGAATTGAAATGTTTAGATGTTAGAATGTATTTCGAAGTTAAAATAAGAAATTAAGAACGCATTTAACACGAGCAAAAATGTCCAAGACTATTAATTTTATTCACGATTAATTTATGCCCTTTCATTGTTACTGTTTTACTAAATATTTTATAAGTGTTAAAAAAAATACATGTTTTTACATTATTTTATACTTATGAATAATTTGTGTTTAATAAAATTAGTATAGTTATAAATAAAATTGTATAGAATAAATTTGTTTGTAATGGACAAATTTATATGTAACCCAATCCAACTGTATTTTAACCTTTTCCCCCGTTTTTTTATAGGCACTGCAGTGGTCGATACACGTCTAGGGAAAATTATTGTAGTAAAAATTTTCATTTTAAAATTAATACAACTTTTTTATAAAACTTAGTAAAAAAACATTTAGTTGAAACTTATAGCAACAAGAAAAACTGATTTTTTATACCAAAATAATATTTTTTGTTCAACTTCGGGGGTCATTTACATATAAAAGGCGATTCTTTTAACACTAGCCACTCAATTATTCTTAAAATAATACATTTTTTATGAATGTTTTTTTTTTTGGCTTTGATAGTTACATATTTATTTATTATAAAATATTTATTATATTCATCCATTATGTCTTATAGGGGTGTCAACCTTTTTTTTAAAAAATGGAAACATACATATCAAACTATTTTATAAAATAGAAAATGATCTAATTAAGAAAATGGCTGTTTGATAACAACTTTATATATATGTGTCAGTATTTCCGGAACATTTTTAGAAGTTAAGTAGAAAATATTCTATTTTCTACACGCTTGTTTAAAGATTTAAAGCCATATGTATATAGGGAAATGATTTTGAATTAAAAAGGTAAATATAAAGTATTTAACATATAATAATTGTATTAATCCTAAATTTTAAAAAATTATAGCATTATAAAGTTAAAAAATAAAAAATATAAAATCCAGAATTTTTTCATAGAAATAGCATATTTTTTAATGTGGTGGTAGCTTTTACCATAAAAATAAGTCAAGAGGTCAAATATTTTTTTTTAATTAAGGTAAATTACATAAACTTTAATTTAAGGTATATATGAAAGTGTCAGTATTTCCAGAATATTTTCATAAGTTAATTTTTTGTGCAAAAGTTGTCATTTAAATCCCCCTTGTTGACAGATAAAAGGTCAGATTTTCAAAAAAAATATACCAAATGATAGGTAAATACCTAAGATATTTATCTAAAAAAAATAGTTTTAATCCATTCAGGTTTCAAAATGTTATAGCAATTATTTCAAAAAAATTTTACAAATGTTGAAATAGAAACATTGAAGCTTAGAGAAATTTTTATTAAAACATTTTTGTCCGATAGCCTACTGCGGCAGGCGCGATTTAACATAAGAATATACCAGTGAAAAGTGTGTTTAATACACAATACGCCTACTTGCACTATTAATTTAAAAACATATTTTTTTTATGATTATTTCACATATTAAAATATTATCAAGTCTATCTTAAAAATATAAGGATTTTTTAACTTACGTTTTTGATTTAGAAAAGTGTTGCGAAATGCTATTATATAAAACTCATATCGAAATAATTTTATACTGCAGTTACTAAAATAATTTAACTTACTACCATCAAATCTGAAGATCGATCCAACTCAATATCTAGCCGGATACCCACAAGATTTTCGTCTGTTTTTAAGGATATCTCACCATACCATCGGTTGGCTTCAGGTTCGGAACCTTCATAACTAAATATATCTGGACAAGGGGATGGCGGATGAGGTGCAGAATTTGAATAATTTATGTATAAAATTAGACATGATACCGTTGTGAAAATATAAAAACGCTAAAATTAAAATACACAACACGTCATTAAATTACTACATATAATTATTAATTGTTTCTTACCATCATAGTACTCATCTACTATTTGGATGAATTTTGTGATCAAGTGACTTAAAAGTGGAATGTTCAACTAAAAAACCCAACGAAGTCGTCTAAAGTTCATTCAACATTTTTATTTTCCAAAAACAAATAAACATTTCAAACTGGAAGCGATATTACCTTATCAATATTTTACTCAGCCTATAAAGTCCAAAAATAAAATAAATAATACGTTAAAATTATATATAAGCGTCGCATGAAACAAAAAAGGAATCAAGAAAAATCACAAACAAATAATACGTAAAGCAAATTAAAATAAAAGTAATAAAGATTATCAGCAGTGGCGACGCGCCATAATAAATAATAACACTATGTCCACTCTTTATAACAGGCCAAATAATTTGGTTTTATAATACTAAAATAATTAATTAAATAAACTTGAATTTCATAATACATATTTCACTAGACTCAATAAAACCTTTTAACCATTGTAATAGTAGTCATATTTCTTCTAGTTGCGGTCCACGCGCTTAAGCTAATGGAGCTCGGCATGGACATGAGTAAATATTTGTCCTACTTGCCCAAGCAAAGTATACCAATAGTAGTTATAATAAAGAAAGCGAAAGGTGGATCGAACCTCCTTATCATAAGATTACATTATTCTAAAAGCAAGTTTTTTAATCTTAATTTTTAATGAATTTTTTTTAATTTTTCTAGAATCATTTAGAAAAAGGATTACGAAAATTTCATAGTATAAAATTAAAAAAAAAAAAATGATTAGTGTCAAGTTTAAATTTAGTCTATTCAATTTTCATATTTAAACCTCCTAAATACCGATACGTATATAGACTTGCGCAAACTTTGATGATTCTGGGCTAATAGAATGAATTTTGAAAATATATTTTAAGTATTTTTTAATAAAAAAATGTATAATATTTATCTTAAATGTAAGAATTTTGTTCTCCTAATTTAAATTTAAAACTTTTATTATCTAAATATTAAATATACAGAGTAAAACAGATCTAACTGACAATTCTTAAACTTAAGAACTATTATAATAGCTTATAATTTCAGTGTAATATCATTATTTATTTTAATCATTTCTTATCTAACGTATATAAGAAAATAAATCAGTATTTATCACTGAAAAACTTTGAACTTTCGGGACCAAAATTATTTTTGTTATCATTTTATAATGAGCATAATTAGGTCAGGTTTCTCAATTTTAGTTGTTTATTCCCTATATCATTGATAAAACTTTAAATTCTTAAGTATAATGATACATATTTTATAGTAAACTAAATTATATTGATATTTAATTATTTTATTTTAATTGTATACCTGATGGCGACAATTATCGAAACCAGTCATATAATAAAATATTTATATTTTTCATAATACTCCCGGTTTTTTTGTACTAGTTTATCTAATGAAATATATATATCATTATTAATATTGAAATCTCCTGAAAAAAATTATAAAATACACATTCATATTTTTTAATTTTAATAGTATTGTTGTTTTTAATATACAATGATTAGGAAAACACACTAGAAAGTGCTTTAAAGTTATATAAAATTTTTGGGATAGAATCCTTCTTTAAACTTACTAATATACCATTTATAGTTTTTATTTTGTAATTTTATTAATAAATCAGTAAAATGCCAGATTTTGGTAATCTTAATACATATTTTACCTGCTGTTTCATCAATATTGTTTAAATGTAACCATATAACTGAGAAATATAATGAAAAAGATGCGTATTGCAATAGACTATAAAAAAATGGGAATAAAGATTTCTTCATACGAGTACTTTTTAAAATATTTACATTTATTTTTCAACAGATTTTTGAAAATAAATCTAAATTTATTTGTGATTAAAAGCTTCGCACAGAAAACGAAATGTGGTAAAAAAAAAGAGACATAAAAACTTACTTTAAACGAACAAGTTTGAATATAAAAAAACATTATGCATTTAAATGTAATAAATTATTACTAATAATGACTACTCTATATATAAGCATAACTACAAAAATTACTTGGAGATTTCGTAGATTTTAGCTTTTGTATGATTTGAATCAATATATTATTTTTACTTGCCTGTTATTTATTGATCGTTTATAATACAATAAAATTCTACAACAGGAGGGTTACTAACGGTTACAGCTTTGAAATCTTGATTAATGAATTATCAATGATACTTCAATGATTAAGTAGGATAAGTATTTGATAAATATGGAGAAGTGTTTAATAGCAGACAACTATGTTGTTAATTTTTGTATAAAAAAATGTTTAAAATTAAATGTAGATAAATAACTTAACAATGATTTATCTAATTATGCATATCACATTACAACACTATTATATAGTTATTGTAATCTTACACATTTATTTACTTCTAATGTGATCGTAAATTACACAAAAAAATTCGTCATAATATTTAACATTATATAAAATGATAATCAGTCAAAAAATATCGATTCAATGACGACCTTTATTTGATTTTTTCAAAGCAAATTACTAATTCTACTAACATATTCAGATCGTAGTAAAAATTGTTAGTAAAAAAGTAAAAAAACAACCAATAAAAGTAAATAAAGTTGATGTGTTTTTAAATCGTATTCATGGTGTTTAGAAATTAAACTAACATGTTAATTGTTAAGAATAATGGAAATAATAGAAATTTTTTCCCTTACTCTTGATACAGAATATTAATATACTGTGAAGAACACACACGACGTGTAAAGCTCACTTTAAGAGTATTCAAGATTTTACACTAAGTATTTTATATAGTGATCGTTCATATCAGAAAATTAAAATTATATTATTATTGTATTGAATTGATTTACTAATATTACTTGCTATATTTTTTATTTAAACAATTTTATTCATTAAACTTTCAAAACTATTGAAAGGTCAGTATTCAGGGCCACGTTTAGTAATTGTGACTATTAGTACAATAAATGTCGAGAAAAAATATTATCCAAAATATGAGTTGAGACACTATCTATAAATCTAATTATTATCAAGTGATTAATATAAAATAAATACCAAAAAGTGTTTTTTTGTTATTATCGATGTTATAAGTGTTTAAGAGTATAGGTTTTAAATAGTTTTGGTTATTTAGGGTTCACACACACTATTTGGATTATAGAATTGGTATTCTTCGGTGCTTATTACATTTAACTCAATTTTAATTATGGGATTATAACTTATATGTTATATAACAATATAACTTCTATATTTAATAAAAAAAATTTTTTTTTTAATTTTTATTTTGGTTTTGGTGGGTTCTGGTTTTTGATGAATATCAAATGTTTATAGGTGTTTTTTGTTTCTGGAACATTTGGTTCTAGGCCTTGGTAAATACTAAAAACATTTTTTCAGGGATTTTTATTAATTACCACTAATTAGACAACTTACGAGATTTCTTAACCAATCTTTATAAGCCGATGTTTTAAAGAAAATTGATATAGCAATTAATTTATTATATAATAATGTACTTTAACCTTAAAAATAAGATTACGCATCACATTACTTTTTAATAATTAAGAATAATTAGTTATATTCGATGTACAAATTATTTTCGCTAAATAATAGACATTAATAATTTAAGTAAAGAAATGTTTTGACGGAAAAAATGGCTGACTTTTTTAATAATAAAATTCAAATTGCAATTTTCATAGTTTAATAATTTAAATAGAAATAATTAAACTATCAGTGGCACTAAAAAGTTTGTCGGATTTTGATTAAAGAACATACTAGTCTATTCATTAAATTAATCTGATGTTTAAAAGCACACATTTCGAATTAAAAATCCCAGAAGATGTCGCTCAAACAAAATAAAAATATAAAAAAACAGAAAAATTTTCAAGAAAACGATTTTTATAAAACTATTACATAAGTATTGATTGAACAGGTATACTTTTTATATTAATAAAATTGATAATTAACCAACTTACTCATACAAATTTTAACAGCTGCCTAAGAAACTCTTAATACAACAAAAAAAAAATAGAATTTTAAGTAAATTTTTCAATGTTTAATAAGATAGCTAAAAAATTCAGATTTCTATTCAAGCACAAATCAAAAGCTGAAATTATTTAAACACGTAATAAAAACCTAATTAACTACGTATTATTACAGCACATTTAAAACGCTAACTTTGGCACACAACAACCAACGAAATATATATTTATAAAATGAAGTAAATAATACCAAATACTCAACACTCCGCGACGACGTCCGGCACATACTAAGGTCACTAGAGATGTCTAACTAATAATGGACACATATACATGTAATCAGCAACTATCTATCTACCTACCTGCCTACCAATTACTATAATATAGTGCAGGTAAAACAACAGAACAGTTTTCCAAGAAATCACCAACACCGTCTCGATCGTTATTGTTTATGTATATTATAATAGCAATAATTAGAAACAAAATAAAAATACAACAACGTCACAGAAAAATAATGAAAAATTCGTATTCAATATTATCACGAAAACCGGTCGTCTGAAAACCGGTTTTCCCCTCAGATAACATTTGTGCTACTACTACGTCAGTACACAATTATTCACTAGTTCTTTATTTCCGTAAATAGATAATTTAAGTCCAGTTAAGTTATGGTTCATACCAGGTTATAATAAAAATGTTATCTGATATTTTCAAAACGTTACTTAAATCGAGATCACCAAGACGACTAATTAATTTAATACTTAGTATATATTAAACATGTACAACAGTGGCATAGACAAGATTTTTACTTGTGGGACTAAAAATCTTTTTTGTTTGCTTATCACATACTTATAATAGCGCTAAAGTCATATACTGTCAATAGTAATGATTGGTTAATAGGAAGCTTTTGGGCACCTTTGGCTGATGCTTACATATACAGTAGTGTATTAAGCCTTTTAGGGCCTTTATATTAAATTATTTTGGACACTACTTTATTTAATTATCGACAATATTTATCTTTAACTAACCTATTTTTTTTTAAATTTTATTTTATTGTAAATTATAATAAAACATATATTTATATACTGTTTATAAAGGCATAATATTTTACATTATTATCACATCTATAGAGTAAAATATAAATAAATTTTTAAATATGACTTATACTTGTGTAAAAAATATACAAATCCAAACAAAACCATTTATATCTTAATATTTAATATTTTTATAACAATCTAGGCTATATAGCCTAGATACACACTTTTTCAATAAATGTTGACAATTTTTTTAGATTGAAAAATGTTTCTTTATGTAATTAGTTGATTATATTTTATATCATCTTACGAATAATTAATTGCTAATAAATTCAAATTTTTATTATAACATTTTAACAATTTTTATAAAATATTTTGAATATTCGTCACTTATGCTCACCGTCTATTAAATAATATTATTTTATTAGCTCTTGGTTATTTTTACATTTTTTTAATAGGCTATTGGCCTCTTTAAATATTTTTAGTCATACATGCTCATTTTATTAAAACTAATTTTTAAATGTTTTTTTTAGTTTAATTAATGTCTCGTTACAATTTAATTTTTAAAAATCAGATATTTTATAATAACGCGATTATAGTGAACTGAATGGTATCAGTTTGTCTGATACACCTATATCATCTCTATCGATATCTTAAAAAGTAACGCTTAGAACTTTTGTTTCTAAACTATCGATTTGATAGTACTGAAACATTTTTAGCATAATATTTATGACATGAGTTTTACGTTATAATAAAAATTATCAAAAATAAAAAATAGATGACAAATTTACATACAATAATTTTTACAAACTGATCTGAAATAATTTCATGGAAAATTATGCACCTTATATAATTTGATGAAATTTCGACTTAATATTCATTAAATCATTTTAATTTTAATTAATTAATTATTTCTTAAAAAAATGTTCATAAATTTTTTTATAATTAATTATTTTTTAATTCTTAATGATTCATTTTCATATACGTACTAATATTCTTATTACTTACACTAGAAAATGTATTAATTGAGAAATTTTAACTATAATATTGATTTAATTCCTAATTATTGGAACAATGAAAACAATTTAGTTTTTATCATAAAAATTGATCACTCGTGACTAATATTATTTTAAATATATTTTTAATTTTATACTTAATTTCTATATAATTTAAAATATAAATGAACTATTATAACGTTTAAATGGAGCTACTAAAAGTTTAAATTATTTTAAAATAGTTTTAAATTAATTATTAAATATTTAATTTAAGCTAATTTTTTTTAAAAATATTTTTATTTACATTTCGTACAAAAATGGTTTTGAAAGTTTGCATAAAAATCCTACATTTCTTTTTTTGTTTAAGCCGTTTAAAAAATTTTTTTGAAAACGTTTGCAATGTTTTTATAGTATACTAAAATATTTTATTATTTATTTCTAGTGAAAGGAAAGTGCTAGGCAGACTATAGAAGAAAGAATAACACGTCTTTACCTAGAAACAGAGGACACCATGATTTTTTTAAATGATCATTTTAATACTTAATTTAATTTTTAAGTTTTAATCAATTGTGTGTTAAACATATAACAAAAAGATTTTGATTTTTTCATTCATTAAATTTTGTTTCAAAGAAAATAATCGTTTATTTGATTTTTTTTTATAATTCACACGATCCAATATTAAGTTTGATTTAGCCCAACTCAACCAGGCTTGAATAATATTAACTCAAGATCCAACTTGGTCCGGTTCAAAACTTGAAATCAACATTACGGCCCGACTCGACTTTTGACCTGGTTAAATTCTCTAAGAGAACTGATAAAAGGTAATAAAATGTAATGTTATGTAACTTAAAAAAAGGTCTTTCAATAGAAATAAGATGGGTGGTTGTTTTTGAAGGGTGGATAGTAGTAAATAAAAACTTTTTTAGTCATTGACGATTTAAAATAGAGCGCCACTGCATAAAATTTTAGTCCTGATTTATATTTTATTTAATTAATTGTTATCAATTAATTAAATAAAATAAAGTTAAAATACCTCATTGTTTGAGTAAACATTTCTTTTTATTTATTTCATAATTCAGTCTGTACAAAGTAATAAAATAAAATTTATTGTTACAAATGATTAGATTTGTATTTCATATTAACAAAAGCATTAAGATACATATTTAAGCAGGGCCGTAGATATGGTAAGGGTTGGTTGAATTAAAAAAAAAAAAATATTTTAATCAATTTATATTAAAAATAGTGGAATAGAGGATTATAAACTGAAAATCCTCACAACTTATGAATCTATACCTACGGACCTGAACATGAGAGAACCTAAGATAAAAATTGTACAGCATAAATATTTTAATTCATTAAATATTAAATTTAAAAACAGTTTATAGACTTCATCGTGTTCGTTTTAAATTTTAAACAAATTACCTAAATATTTCACGAAATTAGTTTTTTCATAAAATTACAATTTGTTTCAATTGAAATATATTTAAAATTTAAGTAAATCTTATCTAAAAATAAATAACTTATAGATATAGTTTTGATTTAAAAAATTGTCTCATATGAATGATTAAAATTAAAATTATACAACAAACATTTAATATGGGTTTTTAAATACCCAACAATAAAATAAATCTCATTACAAATAATATATTGTTATCAAAAATACACAGTTAAATGGTTATCTCTTCTATTGTCTTCAACTGGAGTTACACTTACACTTGGATCGATTTCACGCTGAAACAATTTTCAAATTTTTCTATAGTTCTTATAAATATGATAATTAAAAGATTTTTTTATGCTACAAAGTTAAAATTATCTTTTATTGTTTATAATTTATACTATTAAATATTACCTATATATTATTAAAAAATTATGGGTGTATTAAGGGGGATAATTAAGTGCGACATTACCTCATCAAAATTCATGTAACGACCTAATTTTATAAAAAGAAATTTACACTAAGAAGGATATTGTGCAAACAAAATGTTGATTAAAAATTATATTCGTTATAAAACAAAAGTAACAAAAAGAAATTATTCAGCTCCCGTCCTAAAGAATTATATGATTAAATAATTCATTTTTATTTACTGTCATGTGAGCACAAGAATTACGGTCGTCCCAACTAAGTTTCTTCACACGTTTAGGAATGGCTTCATTTGGCCAGTGAGGCGTTCTAGAAAACCTATTCACTGGACTTGGAGTGGCTGTGGTTGTAGTTGTAGAAGAACCTGCAGGAGATCGACCGGCACCCGCTCCTGCTTGAGGAACTTGTGGTGGCGCAGGCGCTGGAAATTTGTGACGGTTCCTAGGTACTACTTGTTGTACCGGACCACCAATTTTACCCCGACCATTCGTAGCAGTAGTTCCCGGGAACATTCTGGTAGCTAAACATCAATTAACATAAAGAAAAGAAAATAATATCAAGTTCACTAATCATAATATATTTTTATTCGAAGTAAAATAATTATTATTAGTTTAAACTGCATTGTTATAATTACAGCAACTCATGACATATATTTAGTGTTGGCGATTAAGAATATTCGATTTATTAATACTAACTTTTAACTGTAGCAGTATATAACGAATCAGTTGTTTCTTCTTTGGGATTAAACAATGGATTCTGCATTTTGGTCCCTACTCCGACCAATCTTTTTTCGTCGTATATCGAATTTGCATGTTTAAATCCTTCAAATTTACTTCGTACGTCAAAAGTCGCTGGGGGTCCCACTTTAGGTCGTTTACTTTAAACACAACATTATTAAATTGAGTTACAATAAAATTTCAGTCTGCTAAACTTTTTATGTTTTACCTTTTTTGAATGTGTACGATTAATGCAACTATCACTAAGCTTAAAACGCCTAAAATTACACCAAAGATGATAACAACAGTGTAACTATTAGCGGATGTTCGTCCAGCTGCTTTTATCATAGTATCTGGTAAATGTATAATCACAGGTACAGAAGCCTATAAAATATTTTATAGTTTTAGTTTAGCTTAAACACACAATTTTTAAAATATGTACTTGTCTTGGCGGAATACCCGTATCGGTAGCAACAGCAACTAAATGAGCTGTAGATATACTTAGATCTGACAAATCGCCCAAAACAATATCTCCTGAATCCTCAATCGTAAATAGCCTATATATATATATATAAAACAAGTGTAATTAATTATAAAAAAATTTCAAAAACTAATTTGTATGACTTATTGGCTTTTGGATATAAGCCATAAAAATACACTCGCGCTATATTTGTTAAAATAAATTAACGAAAAAAAAATTGCCTTGATTCTGGACCCCGCAGTGCCAGACTAACACGATCACCCCGATCTCCATCAGCAGCTTCCACTTTGCCAATAACTGTTCCGGGTAGAAGTTCTGATAGTGATATATCTGGTACAAAAAATTCATATTGTGGATATCGAAATCGTGGATCCCAATCATTTACATTTAGTACTGTTATGTTAATGAAAGCAGAAGTATTCTAAAAAATAAAGTAAAATGATTTAACTGTGTAAATGGAGAAATTATTTATCGTTCTTTCGTTGTAAGGCTTCACATTTCATTTTATGATAATTGAAAGTATGACTTAAAAATAATAAGTCTTATAGTTGATATTTTTTAGAAATCTCTTACCATAAAACTATCAGTAGCGTAAACGTAAAAAATGTAATTATCCATGGTTTCATAGTCTAACGTTTTTTTTAAAGTAATATCTCCGTTGACAGTTACAGAAAATACATCTGTATAGTTGCTCAACCAATACTTCAATCGTTTGTCTTTTGGCTTGTTAGTAATCACAGTCATCAAAACGCTATCTAGAGGAACATTTTCCAAAACTCCAGCTTGATAATGGTCTTGAAGAAATTGAAGTTCTCGAAGTGAAGTACCTGGCCTACTAATAGTTAGTGTTGCCAATGCATAACGATCAGAATTATCAAACTGAGTTGCCTATAACAATTAATATAAAATTATTTATTAACAATAATTTTTAAAATATATATATAAATCTTCAATTACCCGAATAACCATTGTTGCTGGCTGCAGGAAATCATCTTCTGGAATGGCACGTTTGATGGTAATACTTCCCGAAACTCTATCCAAATCAAAATATCGAGACTCTTGGGTATCTATACAGATTTCATTTAAATAAATAAAAAAAAATTATAATAACAAGACTAAATAATTTATCTGTTATTTTTTACCAGGATTAAGAGTGTAAAATATATTTGCATTAATCCCGAGGTCTTGATCATAAGCTGCAATTTCTCTTGGAAATACTCTGAGTTTTGTACCCTAACCATAATATATACATATATATTTATACTTTATTAATTAAACTAAATCTATGAATAAATCTATAATAAATCATAGTTCTATGATATTACTTTAGCTGCAATATCTGGTAGTGTGGTGCTATACCGTTCATCGTAAAACTTTGGATTTTGATCATCAGCGTCTATAATGTTTACAAATATTACTGTATCTGAATACTGTGGGGGATTTCCTTGATCCTAAAAACCATATTACAAAATTAAAGATAAAAGAAACAAACAAAAAATAATAAAAAAAATTACTTGGGCTCGAATACTAATAGTAAAGTTTGAAAGTGTTTCAAAATCTAATGCTTTTCTCAAAACTAGAGTCCCTTCTAATCCATTTACAAATACGAAGTAATCCTGAAATAATATATTTTATTATAATTGCTGTAGAATGTATAAGTAAAATATTTATTAACTCATCTATCGATTATATCACTGATAAGATTAATTTTATTATTGAATTGTAAATTAATGCATTTATTTATTATCTCCCCGTGTATTATAATTTAAATATATATTACATAAATATTTTTCTATAATAGTAGATTATTAATTTATATAGTTTACCATTAACATACCTCTAAATTTTCTTTAATTCCATTTATAAAAATTAGCTGCATAAATATAATAAATCCAAATAAAAACGTTTTTTTATAATATACTAAAAACGAGTAAATAGTAATAAATTTGAATGTAATAAATTAAATATACTCTTATGTATTATTTTTATGCTACCTAATACATATTTAGCTCTTGATATATTACAGGCGCAAGTTCATTTTTTTTTTAAGCGGATTAATGTAAAGTAAAAAAACCCAGCACAGTGGGGTCGCGGCATAGTGGGGATGTTGCATAGTTGGGTCCAGTATAGATTTAATCTGACAGTGATTAAAATCACTATCATAAGAAACGCTTCGATGCAAATCAGTAGATAGTGTTTAATTCTAAGAAATTGGTGGATAATTACAAAAGCTACATTATCTGCTAGTTTCTTATTAATACCCTGATTAAGATAAAGTATGTCGAATGAAAAAGGGATTATTAAAAAATATTATTTCTCATAAAAAAATTGTGTTGATTCGTACACTTTTCAATGAGTTATAGCATTATAAAGTTAAAAATGTAACCAACCCAACCCAACATCAACTCCTATTTCCTTAATTATATCCAGATTAGTAATTATTTTAATTATATATTATATAATTTTTATAATTAATTATTTTCAAATTATTATTGATTTTTAATATGTTAAAAGTAATCATTTTGAACCTACTTCTTTTTGTTCTTTAAAGTGAAAGTTTTAATAAAAAAAAAATGAATTTATTACCATAACTTTTAACTCAACTTGCAAGTTTGAAATAAATATTATTAAATAGAAAAAAAT